CCCTAAATGTATCATCTGTCTAGTAAAACTTATTACTTCTCCCCACAACCTTTGTTCCCTTGCAGATAGTGGATTTAAAGTTTCAGAAGGAGAATTTTATCCCAGGTAGAACATTCCAATTTGAGGAAGAAAATTCTACAGAAACATGGTTTGTCTGAGAAATGAAACCACAATTATTGTGAGCTCCAAATGCATCCTGTTAACTTTAGCTGAAGGGAACAGAGTAGACTCTCAAAATCAAGCCAAGCAAGTCAATCATCTGATTTATTACTGTCTTGTTTCTTTGTAACAGTTCTTAAGCAGCCACTGTCTTAACCTAGTAATTTTAGACAAAAAAAACCCAAACCTTTAGCCAAAATCTTCTCCAATATTGAGTTTTTTTGCAGGATAATACCATGGTCACCTACTCTCCATAGAGGGAAAATATATCAAGAGGGATATTAGGCTACAGTTGAAGAGCTTCAAAGTGACAGAAGTGTATAGGCCTGAGGCCTCTGAGGTTTGTGAAACTGAATCCTGAGTCATGGGAGCTTCCTATTAGTAAATATTAAATGGAGCCTCTATGAGTACAAATGACTGGGATGGGTCAGCAATATCTGAGTCTGAGGGCTCAGCTGCTGAACTGTGACAGTGATCTCTACAAAGGACGGGTGTCCAGAACCCAAGGAGGTGATGCTCTGTCTTCCACTGCCCAAGGAGCGCACTAAGGCTGAAAGGCAGTGGTGCAGGATGAAAAGGTACAGCTGCCTCATGAGAACATGGCCCTAGGCCTAAGGTGCTGTTAAAAAGCAGGGCTCTGACCAGTGCAGTGGGGATAAATACTTAAACAGGATTTGCAGGAACAGTTCTAACCAGTCTCCATTGCTGGTGAACTAGAAACTCTTTAAACAGGGTAAACACTACCTATAACAACAGCAATATTTTAAAGCTTTTACCTTAAAGGATCTATAGCTACTGAAACCTCAGTCACAAACAGAAAAGCCAATGCAAGGAAAGAAATTATCAGAATGCTGAAAACCAGCAATGGATTAATGAACATATTAACACTTAGACAGAAAGGCAGAAAGCTAATTTGATGACATGCAGAAAGTGGATTTTTCCTTGACGGTTTCTAAAAGTTTATCTACTAATTAATGAAAAAGTCCTATTTTACCTCGAAAATTAAGAGCTACCAAATGAAATTAGAAAAAAAAAAAAGTATATTTGAAAAACCTGAATTATTTTCATCTTCCCACTCTGCTCCAAAAGAAGAAGTGCATGTTGACTCTCATTAGCCTTCAGATAAACCATCTTCAGCAGACGACACTCATCTTTGCTGTTCTGGGCCAAAGGCAAGGCTTTAACTTCCTGCCCACTTTCAAACTCCCAAATTTTCACTGTTCCTACACACAGATGAGAAAGATATACAAAAGGGAATGAACTTTCAGCAATAACCTGTGCTTCAAAGTCAGAAACTTGAACCGAATCAAACAGCAAAAGGAGAAGAAAAAAGAAAATCCAACTGTAGGTTCAGAGCTAGGTCACTGGTCTTTCAAAAGCTGTAACAGTGTGTGTCTTTCTTAGGAAAGCACCCTTAGGGACAGAAAACATCCTCATCACTAGCCCCACCATTTTTCCATCTTTTTTCCATGTCTGTTTTATGCTGCAGCCCAGGATAAAAGACCACTGCCTATCTTACTCCTGTTTCTGGACTAACGTCATCAGAGAGCAAGTAGAGTGTGGCCTGTCGGGCAGAAGACTTCAGGTTCTGAGGTACAGCAAGGAGCAGAGGGACCTGGTTGCTGGACTTGTCCCACAGAGCTAGTGGGGAGAAGGAGCTACAGCATCATCTTAAGTGAAGCAGTTATTACATATGACTTCACTTTTGTAAGAATTGGTAGCATTCACTTTCTGTCATGCTCTTAAGATCCATAAAGGGTGTAGTCTCTGCTCCCAAGTATAAACAAGAAACATTAGCCAGTATGCTGTGTGGAAATGGCCACCTCCTCTTTATGTGAGGCAGCTTTCATATATTTAATATATTTTAACACTTCAGGTGTGTATTCTTGAACATTTGAATGTGAGAAGAATTATTCAATCATGTTAACAGATTACAAAATTATTAAAGTTTGCTGCAGAATTCAGTGTAGCACTTGTGTATTGGAGAGGTCTTGTTACATTACCTAAAACTGATGCACCCTAAATAACACATGTGAAAATGTCAGTAAACAGGTAGAGATATATATTCTAGTGTTCAGTGCCTGCAGACACTATAAAATTGAGCTTAGATACTACAAAATTGAAAAACTACTGTTCTCCATCTGTAGCCATTTAGTTACAGATCTAGGTCCTAACTACTATGAGGAAGCATCTTTTCAGACCAAGAGCTTTGAAGATAGTCTTCCCGAGAGCAATATGCTAGCAAAGTACCAGAGCCCAAGCAGCCAAAAATCACCTTTCTATGAATCACCTATCAAATAAAACCCAATCAAGACACCCCCCCACCCTTTTCCCCAGACCGACAGTTGTGTGTTCCTTTCTGTGCATGATTCCTCCCACCTTGGAAGAAAGCCAAAACTCATTCTTCTGTCACTGAGACAGTCAAGACAAAGAGTTCTGTCTGCTCATGTAATATGGCATTTTATATAAATGTAATAAAAATGTGGTAATTATTTAGTTGCTTTACCATCACATGCCCCAGTAGCAAGATAAAAACCATTTATTTCAATGTCTGCACAGGTCACTTCAGTATTCAGCCCATGCACATCTTCAATCTGATATATTTGATATCCTGTTTCTAGGTCCCAGACCTGAAAAAATAAGATGGTAATTATTTGTACTACATCCTCTAAAACTCATCACACAATGTGTTCTAGTGTAATTGGAGAAAGACGAATACTTCCAAGAGCAGATTTTCACATCCCGTGAAATAGGTTCTCTGTTACAATAGCACACTACCGTGTTCTTTTACTGAAATACTAGTGTAATTTCCCTGAAAATGTCCCTCTCCCCAGAGAAGTCATTCTGGCAAGGGGAGGCTCTATTTAGTATGCTATGAGAAAGACCCCTGTTAAGTCAGAGAGACTGTTGTTAAATATGAGTTTTTACAGTGCAAAAGCAAAGAAATCTAACCAGAAACAATGGTTTGAGCTATAATTTCCATGCTGAATATCAAAATGAGGCTTTTCGTAAACATTTGGTCCAAAAATGTAGGAACAACTATATCTGATCATTATCTAATCCTTTTGGGAATTTAAGCAATGCATTATAATGAAGTACCAGTACAAAGTTTGGTTGCTGGAGTGGGATAGCTCAGATTCAGCTGCATTTATGAAGTAGCCACTCATGTCACGTGCACCGTCTGGATCTGATTTTCTGCAGCACCAAGTGCCCAAAACTGTCTTGTAATAATTGTAATATAATTGTAATGGTGGTGTAGCCATCGTGGTCTAAAGGAAGGCAGGGTTTACAGTGAGAATCAACATCTTTACCAAGTGTATAAAATGAACAAACCTTTACACAAACAAGCCTTTCTCCGCAGGAATGGCATGCATTGCCAGCTGGCCCAACAAGAGGTGCTACCTCTCCCTACAAATCTTGCCATCTAACCCCATCAACAGTCGATGAAAACTGCAGGTCCTCAGTACCTCTGATGATCATTGTCACACTTAATTACACCAGTAATGATTCACTTTATTAATCTGTGGGTTTTCTGACGCTTGCATGGCAAATGTTTTTTAGTGGTTCAAATGCAAATGGTAAAGTTAATAGGCAAGTTTAATCTTTTCATTAATGTTTCAACACAAACAGAGCTGTGATAAAAAGTGATAAAAGTGATCTCCATCACTTTATTTTTCTTGTTAACTGGATATTATATTCAACACTTCTCCCTCACTGTATGACTTGTAAGGCTCAGAACAACATGTTCTAGGAAATAATTTGAATGAGAAAAGGATCTACAGAAGGTCAGCAAATTGGCTCCAGAACTGCTAGCCAAATAGAAGTAGATCAGACAAAAGAATAAGAAGCAAAACAGGAGGATAGAAAGTCAGCTTTTACAGTTTAGGCACACTGTATGTGCCAATGAAACTTTTCAATTTTAGCAAAGGCATCTTTTCATCTGAGAGCAGCATCTTTTACACAGTCCTGTTTTTACAAAGCTACTTTTTTCACATTTTATACCAATCCATAGAATGTCTAAAGTACACATTTATATTCTACTAAGCTGTCTGGGACTCAAGCACTTTCTAAACTTTAAAGAGAAGCTTATGAGATATGCCTTCTGAATTGAAGAATAATGTGTAATTGTGCTTGCATGAATTTTTGGTTGGATGCACAGTTTGGCATCATGGCAGTTAAAATTTTCCTTAGTAGCTACTAAATAGCCAATGGATTTTCACTACTATTGCTATACTTGCAAGAATCCATTGCAGGAACAGGTGAAGTGTACCTATTCAGTCAAAGGAAATAAAATTACAGCTAAATCCAGTACCTCTGAAGCCTTGCTCAATCTGCCTGGTGCTTGCAGTGCAGTTATGTCAGTGCAGGTCAGGGAAGTACTTATCTGAGAAAAGTAAT